GTCATATACACACACTCCAAGTCCACACGTGCGTGCGCAGGGGTGCGCACAGAGACATTCATGAGATACACACATTCCAAGTCCACACGTGCATGCGCAGGTGTGCGCACAGAGACATTCATCATATACAAACACACTCCAAGTCGACACGTGCGTGCACAGGTGTGCGCAAAGAGACATTCATGAGATACACACACTCCAAGTGGACATGTGCGTGCGCAGGGATGCGCACACAGGCATTCATTATATACACACACTCCAAGTCGACACGTGCATGCTCGACACGTGCATGCGCAGGGGTGCGCAGGGGTGCGCAAGGGTGAGCACACGTACGTTCGTCATATATAAACATACCAAGTCGACACGTGCATGCGCAGGGCTGCGCACACACATACCAAGTCGACTTGTGCATGCGCAGGGATGCCCATACAGACATTCATTATATACACACACCAAGTCGACACGTGCATGCAGGGGTGCGCACACAGACATTCATCACAAGTCAACACGTGTATGCGCAGGGCTGCGCACACAGACATTCATTATATACAAACAGACCAAGTGGACACGTGCATGCGCAAGGCTGCGCACACAGACATTCATTATATACACACACACACTCCAAGTCCACACGTGCATGCGCAGGGTGCGCACACAGACATTCATTATATACACACACACTGAGTCCAAACGTGCATGCAGGGGTGCGCACACAGAGATTCATTATATATACACACACACACACAGTCAACACGTGAATGCGCAGGGTCATGTGTCTGGATGGATTCGCTCTCACTTGTCTATCGCCCTCGCGCGTGCGACTAGCTTCTGTCTGCGTGGGGGAGGGAGGGGGGCGGGTTGCGGGACTGGGATGTGCTGATGGGGCGGGGATCGATCCGTCCTCTTCTTGAGCGTTTGACTCTGTGTGCTCATGGGACTGTATTTGTATGAGTGTCACGGACACACAGACGAGTCTTACGGCTAATGCAAGTTGTCTCTGTCTCTCATGGTAACTCGCAAGTGCACTGCCAACTCACCGCGCATTCGCCCCTTCCCCACGGACGACGTTTGAGGGAGGGGCTCTTTCCTGCCCCACTAGATCACTGACTGACGAACTGACTGACTGACCGACGGCCTGCCTGCTCGCCTGCTGGCTCCCCACTTCATGTGTGCTTCGTGTGGCTGCCCTCTTCACGTCTATCATCCGCGCCGTGTCTGTCTGGCGCTCGTGTGCGTCTGTATGTATGCACGTGTGGACTTGGAATGTGTGTATATAATGAACGTGTGTTTGCGCACCTCTGCGCATACACGTGTGGACTTGGAGTGTGTGTATATGCGATGAATGTCTGTGTGCGCACACATAAACGCAGGTGTGCACACAGAGACAGTGAGTGAGTCTAGCAGGCGGCCAGCGGCCACCTTACTTCGTGCGGCATCGTGCGCTTGCATAGCATGTAGCAGCTCAGCACGCAGAGACGTGTGCAGTGGGTCAGTCGCCAAATCACTGGCAATCGCATCGATATCACTCTCTGCCCAGCGATACAGGACACGGCTGGGATTATTGCAGGCAGCCTGAATACGAGCACGCAGGTCAGTCACTGCCGGCGGTTCGGTATCCGCCTGCAGGCCAAATGACAGAACAAGGTGCTGTGTGTTCAGGCTAGTAAGCGTCGGTCGGAAATGTGTGGTCATCGGGTACAGACATGATGATGCCATCACGTAGTCAATCACAGTGCCCCGCCCCTGTGCATAGGTAGCAGCTGAGGTGACTGTGTGAGGAGACTGGCCGACAGGCCGGCCATTGAAACTCAGCAGTCCATTCGAACGACACATATCCAACAGAGAGCTCCCCTTCAGGTCAGGTGCAGAGCTACAAGTAGAGTGGCGGGGTGCGGGGTCAAGCACCAGGGGGTGGAAAGCGTGGATATCCTCACCCACATCCTCATAATCATCTACACTGAGCGTGTCGGTCACGATAGTGGAATAGTGCCTAGCGGATCGAAGGAACATGGACATGAGACGATCTTCACCGATGCATGGCAAACACAACATGGTACAATAAAGGTGTCCATCCACACGGTCTATGCATCACCGATACACCTGCATGCATCACGTCACACACGTGCCATGATGTCCGTGACTCCCAAACCAAGCGCAAACAGCTTGGCTGGCCATCTGTCTATCTAGTGGCCTTGGGTTCAGCCACAAATGTCTTGATCGTCCCAAAACCCATCGTTTCAACACCCAACACCTACACACACACACACACACACAGACACATATGCATCCTTCCGTGTGTAAGAGTGCCATCCATTCATCCATCCACCCATCCACTTACCGTAAATCCGGCTTTTTCGATCATGTAGCAGAAGTCGTCTTGTTTGGGGAAGGCCTGGATGCTGTCCAGCAAGTGGCGGTACTCGCGCCGCCTCCCAGACAGCCACACACCTATCAGCGCATTCAACCGGATGAACCAACGCGTCAGACGGGCCAGCAGACCTGAAGAGGTTCACACACGTGTACGGATGGGCACATCGGTGGGTGTGGCATCGTGTGTGGTGACTGACTGACCGTTTCCCGTGGAATCTGATATCTCTTGTATTGCCAGCCTTTTGCCCTGCTCCTTCTTGATGACATGATGGAACTTCTCCAGCGCCGTGATGCGCGACGCCGCCGGCACGTTGCGAATGCCCGAAAGAGATGGAGATCTGACAGGCACAGCAAGTCGTGCACACAACACGTTTCTGGATCGTGTCTGTGTGTGTGCGTACCTTGTCGAATGAGCTGTCCTCATATTGCAGGGCGAGTGTGTCGCCCAGCTCAAGGCGAACAGTGTCGTTCAAGAATGCTCGAGAGACCTGTTCGCACACAGGTCAATACATAGGAGTGAGCGCGTCAGGCGCATGTGGTCCTCACTTTGTCCCTCCCGACAGCCAGCATGTTTGCTGACGGATCGACACCGACCACACACGGACCTGCAGACACCACACACACATCATGATGATACAAGCATACGTACAGATCTGTGTCTGTGTGCGCCTGGTCGCTTACCATCTCGTTTTGTGTCATTTTCCCTGGACTTGATCTGTTGGCCGAGTATGCCACGTCAGCCGTGCCCGTGGCGACGTCCAACACACGGTCAGACGGCTCAAACTAAACACAAACAGACAGTGAGACACCGGTGTGTGTGTATGTGCGCATGGGTGAGAGTGCGTCCAACCTGCAGAGTGTGCACAAGCCGCCTTCTCCATGCCCTGTCCATGCCCATCGACATGACGCGATTCACAAAGTCATAACGAGGCGCCACCGCATCAAACATCCCGCATGCACGCCACACAAACACAGGCAGATGCATGAATCACGCGCATCTGCCTGAAAGGCGCAGAAAGAAATGCATGAGCGCATCGGCTCTGCCCACCTGCCGCTCCCCATTGCAGCCTCGCTCTGCCCTTTGTTGCCGTCGCCATCATTCAGCCGCCTTCTCAACCAGGCCCTCTCGCCCTTTCCAAGATCAACAGCCTCGCTCATGCGCAGCAGCAGGAGATGCACCACACACGCCAACAGTGATATCACCATGACGCGCCGAGATCTATGCAGCTCCTCCTGCACCTGCGAGCTTCTCTCGCCGATCCATTGTGCTGTAAGCATAAACGAATTTAGTCATGCGTGTGATGCGTTCTGCAACACATTGATGCCGCACATGCAGAAGGACATTCATTCATTCATTCAGTGCGCTCCCATGTCACACGCACAGACGAACCACACACCTTGAACAGCTGTAATGTGGTTTCTGCAGGCTTTGTTTCTGTCTGTGTGTCTGTCGCAGAGGTTGATGAGAAAGGCCCTATCCTCTGTCGGTCAAGTCAGACCCATGTGCATAAACCCCGATACCCGCATACTGACGCATTCATCACCAAGAGACAGCCAACAGCAGCGTCCTGACGCTGCTTGGTGATGAACCTGTTGGTCAAATCCCCATTCTTACCAGCACCAACGCCAGACATACATCGGTACAAATCAGACAGACGCAGCTTGATACTTCTGCTGCCTACTCGTAGCCTCTGAGCAACGTGCGCATTTCGTCAGTTTGCGCCAAATCCAGGGGACTTTTGCCCTGCATGCATGGGATGCACATAAGAGACAGCCATGGAACGTTGTCGGCCGCCATCATGTCATGAGCTTCTCACCTTGTTGACCTTCTTCAGCTCATCGGCCCCGCCCCACTCGAGCAGCTGCTTGGCGGCGTCCACATGTCCTTGCCAGGCTGCCAGGTGAACCGCATAGTAACCATCCTGTATCTCATACACAGCAGAGGTGAGCTGTATTTTGAGCCGGGCCTTCCCACTTCTCCGCTAACTTACCGGCCCCCTCTGCTCGAGAAGTCTCATGCCATTCTTCGTAAACATCGCTCTCATCGCCTTAACATTGTCGCACATCACAGCCAGATGGAATGGGCTGCTGTCGTTCTGAGAGACATGACATGCAGCGGACGGTCCATGCTTCTCTGCACTTGTTGAACACTTTTTTACATCTGTCCGTTTCCAAAGCTCATCAACACCGCCCCATTGGATGATCTGGTCGATAACGTCGACATCACCGCTCTCAGCGGCAAAATGGATTGGCTGGAATCCAAACTGTTCAAAGGGGCGGAAGTGCACATAGAGAGCTTAAAGCACCGTCCTGCCTGCCCTTCAGCGTACCTGCCCCTTCTTGTCGAGCACCTTCTTCTGCCACGTTGCTTCTGCCTGGTCATAGATCGCTCGCAGCACATCGACACAATCAGAGCCGGCAGCCAGGTGGAACGGCGTGTTGTCCACCTGATAAGCACAAGAAATGTCTTGAAACAGTGTGAGTCGATGGAAATCCACTTACCTTGTTTGTGAGTGCCAACAAACTCTGCCCGCATATTCTCAGGATCTCAGACACAACCAACGCATGGCCCTTCTCGACCGCCAAGTGCAACACGGTGTTTTCGTCCTGCGGACAGACAGCACCGACATACAGATGGAGACAGCATTTTCAGCCATTTAGCCTTACCAGTATCTTCAGTCGCTTGCTGACGAGCCCTACTCCCTGGTCAGCTTGCATGAGCAGCAGAACCATCACGACATCCACGTGGCCGTTCTGGGCTGCAAATGCTAGCGGAGTGAAACCCTCCTGCATTCATGCAAGCAACCAAGCGTGAACGGTCCATCTACTGTCAATCGGTGTCTCTCACTTTGTTACTGTCATGAAGGCATTGGGGGCCATATTCTTTCACCATTTTCAAAACTGCCTTTCGATTGCCTTCTGCACATGCCTCAAAAAGTTTCATCTTCTCCACAGGGTCACGACTTGAATCCTGGGCAATACCCATGCCGTCGCTTCCGAAGCTGTGAGCCTTGGTTTTGGCTTTCGCTGCCGCTTTCGCCTTGGGCTTCCGTCCTGCCTTCGCCTACATCCGTTCACACGCGCACACACAAACACACACATATACATACAGTGGAGCATAGAGATGAAAATCTTCGGCCCGTCAATCGTCCGACTAACCTTTGGCATGGCCCCAGCTTTGGGAGCAGCAAGCGTTGGTTCTGGCCTTTCCTCGGGCTGTGAGCTCGTCGCCTCATCTATGAAGTCCTGCGCAGAAACACATTGAAACAACCGACAACACAACACCAGCACAAGAGGCGGGTTTTTGCATTCAAGTATGCGTATTGATGCTTGCTGACCAAGAACGGTTTCCACTCTGTTCCATCCTGTATGACTACAATGCCATCTTTCTCGATGATGCATGCCTCCTGGCCATTGAGGGTGTACAGGGGTGAATCCAACTTGGCCACCTTCAAGTTCAAATCCTGCCGTCCCTTGACGAAATCGTTGAGAAACACGTCCACGAGATCCTCGGGGTCGCCGTTAGAAATGAAGCTGAGCCTTTCCTCCTCTTGCCCCTGGATACATCATAAACATGTGAAAGCAAAGGCTGACATGATATACATAGACATGCGGCTTATCTACTCTGCCAATCCTCTCACCGGCGCAGGGCTGCCTCTCAGCGGCTCAGGGTTGCCTAAGGATGGTCTCCTGGCTGACATTGTTAGTCTTGGCATCATTATTGGTCGTTCTGGAATCAGTCCGGAAAACCTTTGTTGTGGTGCCATGCCCATCATTACTGGGGTTGATGGACTGGCAAACATTTGTTGTGGTGGCAGAGTCATGATTGCTGGTAGCGGTGGCCGGGACAAGACGAACTCATGCTGATCCACCATCCTTTTGAGCGCCGATTGGTTCTGCCTCAGTGCCTCCATCTGGATGTTCATGCCCTTCATCTGGATGTTCATGCCGCTCAGCAGCATCATGCATTGGTTGAAAAGTTCCTGGGTATGCTGCCATATGAACTCCTGCATGTCCAAGCCGGGGCCCTGGCAATGCATGCTTGGCTGCATCACCGAAGACGGAGACACGAAAGGCATCAGCATCGGACGGCTCCCCAGCGGCCCAGCGGTTCCGGGAGGGCCGAGTGGTCGCCGCATGGACCCCAGGGGGGAAGTGCCTGGGGATTCTCCTGTCGACGCGGCCTCCAATGCGGAGAGAGAGGCAGTCGTCCCTTGCCCTGATGTGGCCTAGTATCCAAAGCACCATGCGCTGAACGAGCAGCGTTCTTTCCTAACAAAGGCAAGGAAGCAGGAGCAAGTATTCGCTGCTCATCGTGTTGACTAGCTTTTCCTGCTCACCACAGAACTCGGAAAGTATCCACATGTCCTCAGCCTTTGCCGCCGCCACACTTGCATCGATCATCATGGGAAGCTTCACATGCCCCTTCAAGCTACGTTTCCTTTCTCCGGCAAGGGCGCTGAGCCCCATCACCCGACCCGGCAGGCCCACACATGCCAGTCTTACGGTTTGAGTACTCATATCGTGAGACTCACACTTGGAGGTCACACGGGAGGGGAAGAAGGGGCAACGTGGCAGGCAATGACGAGACTGCTTTTCGGTTTTCGGCTCCGAAGAGAGCAGGGTCCATTGCTCATATATGGGATTCGAAGAATCATCGAGCAGGGGTCCAGTCGCAGCGGGAAATGCCCCGAGGCGGTGCTCGCCCGTGGGTGGCGCCAAATAGGGTGCGACACAGCCATCGTCATCGACCGTATCGGGATGCACTCTAAGAGTCAAATGCGGGCAAGCTTTTGGCACGAGACAGAAGGCGCCCGGAAGACAGTACTGGTTGGTCTTGATGATCCATAGCTGTCCCGGACTTGGACTCGAGGATACGTTGCTGTATGAGTCGATGGGACAAGTGAGAACCAGCTGTGATTTGGTATTTTGCAGGCGGATGTCGACGTTTGACTCAATCAGGGCGTTGACCAGGCCGCTAAGATGGTAAGCTTCAAGAACTTTCTCCTTTTCGCCTTCCTCCTTGTTGAGGTCCTCCTTCTTTTCATTTTTATCTGCATCTTCTTTCTTTCCAGCGTCTTCTTCCTCTTCATCCTCTTGTTCCGCATCATCATCGTCGGCGCCTTGCTGTCGTAGATCAAGTGCTAGAGACACGTCAAAATTCTGCTTGATCAGGTCGCCTTCCACAGAATCATTTATGATGTCGATGCTTTCCGGCATCAGAAGTTGAGCTGGCAAACCACAGACAAATAGGCATTAAGCAAGACACACATACATGCAACGACTTCAGCTCTTTCTTGCTGTGCACCAACCTTGCTGTGCGACAATCGGCTGGCTGCAGTGCCACAGCCCGTCCATCGAGATGCCCTTTTTGCCTGCCCTGACCATCACCGGGCTTTTGCCTTGATCAGAGGTTTTGACGGCCACAACGTATTGAGGCATGCCAACACACTTGATCGTCATCATTTGATCATCCAGCTTGCTGGCGATGCGGCCATCCCTCACTCTCTTGAACGCAATGTCCGGGCCGATCTCGCTCTTTGATGAGGAGCACCACACAGATGTCCATCCCCTTCCTGCTACTGCTGGCTGCTCGATGTTGTCGGCTGGCGTGATGATCCATTGCTCGTACTTGGCCTCATCCTTGCTGTTGTTCCTGTCTTTCTCGATTATCGGCTCCCCCAATGTGAGCTTGTTCTCCATCCGCACGCTGACTTTGAGAGTCTTGCTTGGTGTCTTGTTGGCGTAAGCTTTCGGCACAAGGCGGAAGACGTCTGTCGGACATAGCTCGTCAGTCTGTCGGACCCACAGCTGTGAAATGTCTGGCTCCTCGTGCGTCTCCCGTGTTGTCTTCTCCTTCAGCCCCACGGAGACATCATGCACCACGCTTTCTGTTGCGGCAAGAAAGAGCTCAGTGCCGATGTTCTGCAGACGGAAAGCCGCTTCGCGCGCCTCGATGTTGAGACCGTCGATCACTGCCCGCGTCAAAGCAGCATAGGGAGGATTCCGCTGAACAATCACGGTGGCAAAACACAGGGAATTTGCACCTGAATCCTTACGCATCGTGCCTTGGCTGACGCGGATGATGGCAATGCCGTCCGGATAGTCTTCAGGATGGATGAGGTGGTTTATCAGCCTGTAGTCTGAGTCCTCGATGAAGATGGTCAGCAATGCCGACTCGAAGCTGGATAGCATTGCCTCGTGGCCGGCATCAAGTGTCGTCCTTCACAGCCAACGAAAAAAGAAGACAGGACGTGTGTGCACACGGGAAAGCTATTCAATCACCAACAAACCAGTTATTGGAGGCTCTCAGCTTTCCATACTGAACACGAACACGAGACTTGTCGTCGGTCTCCTCGCCTGAAAAAATTGAAAATTTGAAGAAATTGAAACTTGCACACAGACACACACGCGTAGCAGCACTCCGTGTGTGTCTGTGTGCAAGTCTTACTGTTTCCTGTGTCTCTGTTAAGAGCAAATCCCACTTCCAGCCCACCAAACCCAGCAGTGATCTCGCCGCCCATCGCCACTCTAACATCCTTCTTCATGACCTTCTTCAGCTCCTGGGCGACGAATTTCCTGTCCCTCGCCGGGATCAGCATCACGTGCACAGGGCTGAGGGAGTTGTTGAGGCAGACAAGTTTGGTGTGGTCGTCGGCACTCAGTGGCATGATTGTGATTTGGGGGTGTCGAAGATGGCTTTACACGCAGCAGTGACGCAGCTGAAAACGCAGCAGGAATACAATAGCAGGGATATCGATACGGAGCGCTCGCACTGGTGCGGATTTGGGGCTCGAAGGCGAACTTGAAGGAGGAAGAGGGAGAGCGGTTGAAGCTCTGCGAGCTTGGCGTGACTAGAGGTAGCCCGCGCTTCGCGCGGGATCCCTGGGTGTGGGATCGCTTCTGGCTGACTGACAGCAGGTACACAGAGCAGATAGCAATCAAAAACGAGCCAGATCTGTTGTGTGGTTCACAGGCACATCTGTTCTGATGATGGATGCCGATTTCAGCGTCCCTGCGACGGCGTCAGCCAACTGCACGGCCAGATCCAGCAAGTCGACGATTACGTCCAGCGAGAGATGCAGAAGCACGGCACCTGCCTCTGCCCGATGAGGTGCTGATGCTCAATTTGACGGCAGCGAGTATCCAGCGGAAGCACATGACTCAAGGAGAGGGCGTGGAGGGCACTCTGCTGAGATCATCCACACGGCCATCTTGAATGCCGAGACGATGACGCGGCCAAGCGGGACTACACCGGTAAGGGCTATCATCAACATGGCTTCAGTGCGTGCGTCAAAAGTACAGTTCTAGTTACACATCGTATCAACATCGCTGCTCACTGCTCACTGCATCTGTCATGAACGCTGAGACCATCAGCGGCTCTATCTAGACACTATCAACATCAACGCCACTGCGTATAAATACATGGCTATCAACAACACATGGTCAGCGCTCTCCATCTTCACTCACGCCTCTGCATCAAGCTGAACAACGGCGTGATGTATCTGCCTGCACACAACATTCCGCACACGGTCGAGGTCCTTGGCGAGAACTCGCAGACGTGACGGATGGCCGACTCTCGACAAGGCCACGTACAGCTGCCCATGTGAGAAGCACTCCAGCGTGACATCAAGGCCCACGCGTTCGAATGTCTGCCCCTGCGCCTTGTTGATTGTCAGTGCAAAGGCGGGCCTGAGAGGGAACTGCTGTCGCTGAAAGACGAAGGGGCTGTTCTCCTTCTTGCTGTCGAGCATGATGCGGGGGATGAAGGCGATCTCGCCTGTCCTGGGGCCGGTGAGGATCTCCGTCTTGATCACATGTTGCCTGGCGTCGATCACCTTCAGCCGCGTGCCGTTGCTGAGGCCCGCGCCCAAGTTAAGGTTGCGCAGCAGCATCACTGGCATCTGCTCCTTGAGCACGAGCCGGTGGGGGGGGAAGTCGGGAGGATTGATGCTGTTGAGCACCTCAAGAGGGCACGAAGTATCCGCATACTCGGGGTCGAGCGAGTCGCGGCTGTATCGGGTGATGGCCGTCCCGGGAAAGAGTCGGATAGCAATGTCGTTGGCCTCATCCACTTGCACGTTGCGTGGCGCCAGCACGGCCCTGGTGACAAAGTCGGTGGGCCCATCAAAGTTGTCGTACACTTCACGAACCAGGCCCTCGAGTGACGTTGCAGTCGCGCGTGCCGTGACAGGGATGGACACCTCGTCGGCACATGCCCCTCTCCCATGACCGACGTCGAGCAAGAATTGTGCCCATTCCACAAACTCAGCTGTGTCCTGGCCAGCCAACATGAGTCGACGGATGCGTTCGTTGACGTTCAGCTGATAGCGGCGGACGTGGTTGTTCCAGAAGTTCAGCGTCTGCACAGATGCTGCAAAAGCGTCATCGTCGCTACCATGAGGCACAACCGGCAGACACTGCTTGAAGTCACCACTGAAAACAACCACTTTCCCACCGAAAGGCACCTGTGATACGGTAGACCACAAGAAGAATGCTGGGGTGTGTGTGTGTGTATGTAGGTGTGGATGTCTGGGTGTCTCTTAGCTTGCGTCCTTCTGGTTCATCAGGTCTCTCAAAAACTTGTCCACCGTGTTCACCACATACTTGTGCGCCTGCGTGATTTCGTCCCAGACGATCACAGCAGCCTCCTTGATGACCTGCGCTCGAGCAGACTCCTTGACGATGTCCGAGATCGACTTCTGCTCGGCCGGCACAGGAACTCCAAAGCGCGAGTGTGCCGTAGTGCCGCCCTCTAGAAGCAGCGCAGCCACGCCCGTCGTCGCACATGCGATGGCAACCTTGCTCTCCTCCCGCACAGCAGCGATGACAGTTTCGAGCAGAAAGGTCTTGCCACCGCCACCCTCGCTATCGATGAAGAAGACTTTCGATCGCGATTCGTCGGCTGCAGTGGCTGTGGTAATTGGCAGGGCCTCGGCGATGATTGCATCATAAACAGCTCGCTGTGCTTCATTCATAGTGCACTGAACATGAGGAACAGACGAAAACGACACACAAGCAAAATTAACATTGTGTGTTCCATTGAGGGTGGCAAGCCAAACAAACCCCGTCACCCTCTGTGCGTGTGGTGTGTCTAGGTGAGGACAGCAGCCTGACGGCAGATCAGTGCGGCACAGTGGCTAAACTCGGCAGCGACCCAGGTCTCCGCTGCTGCTTTGGTCGTGGGCGGAGCCATCGAGGCACTGCCAGGCCCATCCACTGCTGAGGTCAGGAGCACGGACGACACAGCGCACAGGCAGCTATATGCAAGATTCGACTGTCGTGTTGTTTGTGCATGCTGATGATGGTGTCAGGAAACTGTGGCTGATGGAGGTGCTGCCATAGCAGCCTGCGTTCCGACTGATGTATGTGTCGGGCAAGCAGCCAAGCGACGAGGGACCGGTACAAACGGACAGACAGGCAGACACCCTATTCTCCATTGCATCCGGCTGGTCTCTTATCTCGGCTTTTGCATCAATCAGGCGTCCCTTTGTCTCTGTCCCGACGAGCTGGCGGCCCTGTTCGGCTATCATCAGCCATGACACCTGACACACGCAGCACCAGCGCTCGGCCACACCATCTTCAGCTGGGCGGCCGCCAACTGCACCCACCTCGTCATCGAGGATCGGACAAGGGCGGTGTGCGGCACACCTGGGAGAAGATGCCGCTTGCCGTGGCATACAAGTGGTGACAGCGCGAGGCCCTCTTGGAGGGCTGCCTCTGGGCCACGACGGCCAGTCGATGCTGTTTGGCGCCTTTCGAGCAGCCGCTGCTTCCACTCTATTTCACGGCGGGCAGTCCGACTGTCCGCTGTTCCCTCTGGACATGCCTGCCAACCTCGAGGGCGAGTCGCCGCTGTGGAGTTTGCAAGATCCGGAGCAGCCGCGGCCTTTCGGCCTCAACGTGCTCATGCCACTATTCGACACTGAGGAGCACACGAGCCACTGCAGGTACGTCCTCAGTCGAAAGCGCCCGTCACCGCCGCCCCTTGGCATCATGACACAAGAGACTTGAAGAGGTCCAACGAGCGGAAGCTGTTATACACTCCTCCGTCTTCACCCCTTCCTGCAGCCGCCGCAAGGCCGAGCGGCATTTCGGAGAGGCAACTGGTCATCGCGTTGCGCTGGTGGGCTAGGGGGGGCCTCTGGGGGTGGCAGACACTCACACCCTCATGGAGGGCAGCATGGTGGGCGAGTTGCC